TATATATATATATATATATATATATATATATATATATATATATATATAAATGCCAGTTAGTATTTCCCATGTGGTAAAATGTCATTCTTTCAGGAAATAGAACACCCTGAAGAGTCAAGTTTTCAAAGAGCTGAGGATTTGATGATTAAAGTATCAAAGGTTTAATTTTAATATTGTGACTGGGAATATTTTAAGAGCAAGTATCTATTTCTGTCTTCCTAAAAGCAGAATATAACATCTCTTGATCAATAGGGGTCATCAATTGCCTTATTGTCTGGAGTATAGCAATACTGAAACAGGATTGCATGAAAATCACCAGGGAAGCAGTTCAAAATTTCGGATTCCAACCCTACACTCGACAAATCTTAGCAATTTCCCCGCCATGAGTCTAATATGATTGATGATAAATGAAAAGGGTGGTAACACTTTTTGAGTGATTACATCTTCTCTTTTTCAGTGTTCCATCTTCTTTCATCCTCTCTTTAAAAGTGTTAAATGTCACTTTATCGCACTGTTACTGGGCCATTCCTTTTGTAGACATTCCTCTTCCCTTTGTAATTTTCTGCTTTCACAATCCACAAATCAGTTTAGAAACCAGATCCCCAAATCTTCTCATGTAAGTGTAGACAGGTCTTGTGTGGACACATCTGAGTGTAAAGGCTTCCATTGCTTCTATAAAATTCTTGGTTCTTAGGTCTGTTCCAGATAGATGCGTCAGATAAGATATCACACCAAGTCATTTTTGTCTGCTTTCTATATTCTAAGCAATGTACATACTACATTTCAATCCACTCTTTCAGAATCCCTTGACAACTCACCCAGCAGTCTGCTGGGCGGTCTGAGCACTGCATCAGAGTGCAAACATCCTTCCCCTACCCCCAGCTCGGTGCCCATACTGTGACCTCTCAAACATTTAACACGCCAGTGTGCCATCTGACCAACTTCGAACATAGCAAAGGAAACAGGTAAGGGTCAACCATTTGGCCAATAGATTACCTTGAAAAGAGCACTGTCCCAGCTTCTGAAACAAACTGCTTTTATCCCTGTGTTTTCCAGTATTCTCTAGTCCCCAAACTCATGGCACTCTTAATCCCATCCTGGGACACACACTGTGTCTTTTTCTTTATGACTCCAGTGCAATGTGCCAGGCTGGCACACAGGCAGCACTTAATAAATGTTTCCTGAAGAAATGACATCCCCCCAGGGCCCAACGATTTACATTTGCCAGAGTTGAGCTTAATTTTTAATTCTTCCCTCTCCTCTGCTTGTGCTCTGAAGGCCCCAGAGAGTGGGTACAGTTTTAATAAAGACCTATAAAATAACTGATGTCACCAAGTGCAGCTACAGGGGAAATGACCCACAACACCAAACAGGGAGTTCCATTAGCTCACAGCCGTTCCACGACTGCAAGCTCAGGGTCCTTCAGCAGAAACTTAATCCAAAATCATTTAGGTAAAAGTCTAATTCCCTAACAGTCTCGATCGCTTAAAAAAAAAAATGTCGTGCTAATCATTCCAAATGGGCCATGCGTGTCGTTTCTGCAAGACTGTATTTTCATCTTACCTAATGAGCACTGCTGAGCTGATGTGTCGTGCAGAATTCCAGGAGCTGCTTTTGCACAGATAGTGCATCTTCCACTTGCCCTCCTCCTCAAATTACACATGAGCTTAATCAGCTCCAAAGCACAGCAATAAACTCTTTAGAACATAAGTCTCAGTCTTTGGGGGCTGATGTGAAAGGAGGACGGAAGCATCTATTGTTTACTATTCTTAGGCTAGATAAAGGAAAGATTTTTTTTTCATAGAAATCAAAGCTGTCATTTATAAGCTAAGAGGATTTAAGAAAGCCTTTGGAGGGGCAGCATTTACTTAACATGGTATAAATATTAAATACCCGATTCTATTAAGCATCAATTTGTACACTCTTTAGAAATCGAGGTCACATTCACCATAAACTCATCCCCAAACCAGGAAAATCTGGTTCCCTTCTCTTGCCATCTCTTTCCTCTTCCATATTGTAAGAGCCCTTAGAAGCCTTTTATCCCAGAAAATCTGCTCCTGCCCCATTATCTTACTTTTCAGAATCTTCCTCTAATCCCCCAAAGAGGCAGCCTCCTTAATGAGGATGAGACCAGAGCCTAAGTGTGATCACTTGAAAGCTCACGATAAACCACCAGGGGAAGGCAGGTCAGCTGTGCAGAGGGTAGAACTGAAGCTCCCATGAATGCCCACAGAGGGAGGATTAGCCAAATAGGAAAGCAGCCTCCTCTTCATGGTCCAGCTACAAAGGACAATCGGTTGTTATACGCAAGGCCTTTTGCCTTAGAGGTGACTGTCAATATTTATTTACCTTGTTCTATAAAGGGTTTCAAGTAGCTACAGATTTACATAGAAATTACAGTAGAAATATGGGTTGTCGGAAAAGTCATGACATATTTTGTCTGTTTTTCAAAGCTCATTTATTTATATAAAGAACAAAGATCAATCAATGATACATTGCCCATTTTGTTTGATAACTTTTTGCCATCTTTCAGTGAGCTTCATAATTCCTTGTTCATAGAAGGACCTGTCTTTATTTGTGAAAAACTGAACAAGGTGCTGATTTACAGTCTCATTTGAATTGAACGTTATACCACGCAAGGAGTTTTGAAGAGAGCGAAACAAGTGGAAGTCTAACAGCGCAAGATCAGGCGAGTATGGTGAGTGTGGCAACACATCCCATCCAAGCTCCAATCATTTTTGACGGGTGATCAAACTTGTGTGTGGTCTCACATTGTCGTGATGGAACACAGCTCTTTTACAATTAACGAGCTCTGGACGTTTCTGGATGATGGATTTATTCAAAATGTCCAATTGCCAACAGTACACATTCAAATTGATTGTTTGGTTCCTTGCTAGGAGCTCGAAAAACACAACACCTTTAAAATCCCACCACACTGAGAACATAACCTTCCTCTGATGAATGTCTGCTTTCAATGTCATTTGAGGCGAATCGTCACGTTGGGACCAAGACTGTTTGCACACCACACTGTTGTAAACAATCCACTTCTCATCACCACTTATCAGTCGCTTCAAAAAAGGATTGTTTTCCTCACGTTTAATGAGAATATTGCAGATGTTTATACACGCAGTCAAATGAACTTCTTTGAGTTTATGTGGAACCCAAATATTGAGCTTGCTTACATATCCCAGCTTCTTCAGGTGGTTGTGAATGCTTGAATGATAGATGTTCAATGTTTCTGCAATCTCTCGTTTCGTGTAACGTGGGTTTAACTCGATCAATTCCTTTATTTTGTCGTCATCAACCTCGGTGGACCTCCCTGACTGAGGAGCGTCGTTGAGATCAAAATCAGCAGCATGGAATTTCATGCACTGACGGTCTTATAGAGCATTGTTATGTAAACTTTATGCAACTTTTCACAAGCTTGATGTGCATTCTTCCCTTTATGGAAGTAAAACAGTAAAATATGGTAAAAATGCACAGTTTGGTCTCCCATCTTCAACTTGTTGTAAAATCTCCAAAACTCAACCAAATCGCTCAGTTATTTTTTAGAATGAAGTTAGAACTGTCAGCTGTCAAATGACATAGCAATAACAGAGATGTGAATGACTCTAGTACTTTCAAAAATGAACTAGTGCCATCTGTCGCAACATGTGTCATGACTTTTCCGACAACCCAATAGTAGATGCAGTTCTACCTTACCGCCTCATAATACACAATAATAAAGCTTAAGGATAGTAAAACTTAGAAATGTTATTTCTTACTCAAGGTAGACCAGAATGACTACAATAACCTAAGAAAAACCGTTCCTGAAAACAAATAATTATCCTTGACAAGGTAAGTGCAATTGTGAACCTTAGACAACATATCTGCTTAGGCACTCTTTTTTTTTTTTCCCCCCCTAGTTGAGGTAAAATTGGTATATATTAGCTTCAGGAGTAAAACATAATTTGATCTTTGTATACATTACAAAGTGATCACCACAATAACTCCAGTTTCCATCCATCGCCATGCAATTGATCCCCTTTACCTATATCACCCAACCCCCAGCCCCCCTCCCCTGTGATAACCACCAATCTCTGTATCTATGAGTATTTTTGTTTTGTTTTATTTTTTAAAGATTTTTATTGGGGAATCAGGGAAGGGGAATAGACAAGTTGCTGTCCTTTTGTTCTTCAGTCTAGTTGTGGAGGATGTCGCTTTACTGTCCCATGTTGGTATTATCATTGCGCTCTTCCTGGCTGAGGCAGTCACTTGCCGGCCGTTGGACAG